GTAGTTGGTTTGAAATTAATAGTATTATTCCTTATTAGTAGCATTTGAAAAAATCATACATGAAGTTGAAGGAAAAAATGATATATTTTTTGAGACAAGGTCTCATTCTGTCACCTGGGCAAGAGTACCCTGGCGTCAGCCTAGTTCACAGCAACCTCAAACCCTGGGCTTAAGTGATCCTCCTGCTCAGCCTGAGTAGCTGGACTACTGCACGCGCACACGCCCTGCTAATTTCTCAGTTTTTGTAGAGATGGGGTTCCATCAGGCTTGATCCAAACTCCTGGCCGTTAAGCAATCCTCCAGCCTTGGCCCTCACCAGAGTGAGACTCTGTCTGACAAAAAAACAAACAAACAAACAAAACAAAACACTAGGCCAGCACCAGTGGCTTATGCCTGTAGTTCTAGAAACTTCTCATACACTTGCGTCCATTTGTATGGCATCGTTGGTGGAATGTCTATACATCTGACCCTTTTAAAACTGGTATTGTCTAATTATTTTGAATAGTAAGAGTTTTCTATTTATTCATGGATCTAACTATTTTATCAAATGCATAATTTTAAGTATCTATGTATAACTTTGTGGGGTTAAAAAACATCTATTAGCGTTATCTGGGAAAAGTGAGCATACACACCTATCATATGATCTAAGCACTCCTCCCCCAATTATATTCCCAATAGACATGTGGACACATATGGACCAAAAAATAGGGACAAGTATTTCTTTTTTTTTTTTGGCATATTATGGGGGTACAGATTTAAGGTTTCAAAGTAAATGCCCATTTCCCCAGGGACAATATTTATAACCTGAACTATTTGTGTTAGATCAAAAATCAGAACAATACAAATGTATAGGCCACTGTCCTGGCCTAGTTTTTTTTTTTTTTTTTTTTTGAGACAGTAGTCTCGCTTTGTTGTCCAGGCTAGAGTGAGTGGCCGTGGGTCAGCCTAGCTCACAGCAACCTCAAACTCCTGGCTGAGCGATCCTTCTGCCCTAGCCCCAGTAGTGGCATACAGGCATGCGCACCTTGCCCGGCTAATTTTTTTTATATATATCAGTTGGCCAATTAAATTTGTCTCATTTAATAGTAGAGAACGGCGTCTCGCTCTTGCCTCGGCTGAGTTTTTGAACTCCCTGACTTAAGCGAATCCGCGCCGCCTCGGCTCCCAAGAGCTAGGAGCTAGGACAGGCGATGACCACAAGCCGCGCCTAGTTTTTTTTTTTTTTTTTTTTTTTGAGACAGAGTCTCACTCTGGAGGAGCCAAGGCTGGAGGATTGCTTAAGGGCCAGGAGTTTGAATCAGCCTGAATGAGACCTCATCTCTACAAAAACTAGAGAAATTAGCTGGGTGTGCCGCATGCCTGTAGTCCTAGCTACTTGGGAAGCTGAGCCATATTATTAAAATTTCAAATATTTGTATCTTTTGAACCAGCATCACCATGTCTAGAGATTTAGTCTGAGGGAGCTCTTACTGGGAAGCGCAGCATTGTTGTGTCACAGCAAATACCAGAAATAACCCAAATGTCCGCAGCAGCATCAAGTACCTCTGTAGAATAAAGAGGCTACAAAGAAAAATATCCAAGATTTATCCTTAGGTTGAAAAAAAGCAAAGTGGCAAACAGGGTTATGGCTGTGGCAGGTGGGTGAGCTGCCTGGGGGTGGAGGGAACCTTCAGCTGTATTTAAAGTACCCCCATCGCTGTATCTCCACACCAAGCTCCACCTGTCAGAACGTGATCCCAAAACTCCACGCCTCAAGTCTGTGGAAATACCTTCATGAAACCGGTCCTGGTGCCAAAAAGGTTGCGGGACCACTGACTTATGGATAATCCACATTAACATGAATTTAATGTATAATATATACCTTAGCATGTTCAACACTCTGAGGAGATATACATTGAATTGGCCATAGCTTGTAGCATACCAAGCATTTTTGTTGGTTACGGGAGACAGATTTTAAGGCGACAGCGGTAGCTGCACCATGGCCTTCCTCATGGCTCCGGCCTTTAAAGTTGTTTCCGATCAAGGGACATAACCACTAAATGGCTCTGCACCTTTGCAAAATGTCCTAAGGATCAATATGGTTAGCTAGGAGAACTTAGATGGGAAACCAGTCACTAAAGCTGGAGACAAACGTCCGAACATCCACAGGCATACGAGAACACACAGCAGCGAGGTCGATGGTGGTGAGCAAGGAACAAGACTACGGAGTTCACGCAGACCCAACAACCAGACACGTGATTTATTAAAAAGGCATCCATTTAGGGCGAGTAAGGGGATGGAAGGACAGTTTTTTTTTTTTAATAACAGTTCTAGGGTGGCAGACATCCACAATGGAAACAGTGATCTTGCACCTACCACCTCCAACTCATCAGAAATCAATTAGGTGGTTAGATACCCTGTGTGTGAAGAGTAAAAAATAAAGCGTTCCTTGCAGACAAATACGTGAGGACTTTCATGCTTTGAGGGTATGGCAAAGAATTATTGAAGAGGGGTACAAAATCTCTTAACTGTAAAAGGAAGACTAATATCCAAATTTTGCTAAAACTAAAAACTTGTGCCATTCCAGTAGACACCTTAAGAGAGAGAATAGGCAAGCCACAAGGTAAAGAGATGATCTGAAAAGCGATATGACCTTCAACAAAGGATTGCTCCAGATAAAGATCCTCTAATCAAGAGAAGGAGCAGATACCCAAATAAGAAGTAAGTTGAACAGGGTTTTCACAGAAGAGACTATAATCAATTGGCTAAAAACATGGAAGAGTGCTCAGTGTCCATTAATGAACCTGGGGGAAGACAAATCGAAAACTACAATGAGATCATGGGTAGAAGGCTAAACAAAAAATTGCGCAATCAGCATGGTGTTCGGGAAGGATACTCCTGTATCACTGCTGTGGGTGAAAATCGTGTGCCAATCACTTTTCTTTTTTTAAGGCTGGTCAGGTGGAGCAGTGGAGTGGAGAAGGAACAAAGAGGAATCTGTAAGCTGGGTTGTGATCAATTATTGCATAACAACCACTGCAACTCAGACCAACCTGACTGCAATCACTTTGCAAACACCGCATAACCTTGACCCTGCAAAGTCATGTCCTAAAACTGCAGTTGGATGTTTCACTGAAAAATGTGACAGGGAGATTCACAGCAGCACTCTCATGATAACAAAAACCAGAAGCAATCTAAACAGTAGCATGTACAACTAAGTCTAGTCATACAATGAAAATACATAAGAGCAGACGAGAAGGGAAAATCCCTCCTTCCTTCCTTCCTTTTATCAAATCTAGTGAACAGCACCCCTCCCTCAAATAACAGCCAGGCCGGGACCACTCCTCAAAGTAAACACGCCCAGCCCCAGGAAACACCCCTCTCAGTAACGACGCCGAGGGGACACACTCCTCCAGAAACGCCCAGCCAGGCACCCCCTCCTCAGTAACACACCCAGCCCCGGGACACCCCCTCCTCAGTAACACACCCAGCCCCGGGACACCCCCTCCTCAGTAACACGCCCAGCCCCGGGACACCCCCTCCTCAGTAACACGCCCAGCCCTGGGACACCCCCTCCTCAGTAACACGCCCAGCCACATCTAACCCACATCTAACCCCTTCTTACCTCCCTCCCTCCCTCCTTCCCTTCCTTCCTAGTTAATTTTTCTGTTTTTTGTTGAAATGGGGTCTCGCTCTTACTCAGGCTGGTCTCTCCTGACCTCAAGCAACCCTCCCACCTTGGCCTCCAAGAGGCTAGGACTACATGTACAATAGTAGCCACCACGCCTGCCCATTTTCTATTTCTTGATCTGTGTGGTTATTATGTGGCTGAGTTCAGTTTGTGAAAATTCATCAAGGTTTATATGAAAACATGCATTTTTCTGTACATGGGTTGTATTTTCATAAAATAAATGTCTTCGAAACACTTACTGTGGGCATAGAAATTATGAGCATGATGACATCAGCCCAAGGCACTAAAACAAACAAACCAAACAGGGGAGAGCCCTTGCCAATGCTTCCTCCTCTCAGCCTAGATTCAGCCTTCCCAGAAAGCCCATCTTGGCTTCCCCTAACACCAGCTAGGGCTGATTCCCTGCCGGCCCACACGCTCCCTGAGGACAGGGCAAACGCCCTGTGCGGACTGGGTGCTCAGTCATGTCTGCTGAATGAATCAATCTAAGGTCACAGAAAGTGGGCTGAGACACAGAAAGCACATTGGGCTTCCCCGTGCCCTTTGTCACCTAGACTAGTGTGATACACCTCAGGAAACATATCAGTGTCACCACCGGGCAAGTTCCTATTCATTCTCAGCTCCTCACTAAGGTGAGACACGATAATTCCGTTTTCAACTTATCTGATGTATCCAGCAGTCTACCCAAAGTGGGGCATTGAGCACAACAGGCCTGTTTCTGCTAGGGTAGGAGAAAGCCCGAGGTCAGAGATGCTGCGAGCTGACTGATAACAAGGACCAGGATTATCCAGTTGTGAATGCCCAGGGCTGGCTCCCGGCCAGGCACGTGGGAGGCGCTTGATCACCACAGCCCCTGCTCTGGGTCTGACCGGATCTCCTTGCAGATGGGCACCGTTTTTCATTTCTGGATTCACAGTGCTGTGATCAACACAGGTGCCCAATAAATACCTTTTGGGTGAATAAAAGAACCAAGAGACATAACCAAGAGATCCCAAGCATTTTTATGACACTTGTAGAGCAGTAGACTTGCATATTAACCACCCACCCCCCCTACAGCTCTGTGTCACTGAACCAATTTTCTTACCCCAGGGCACTAAAATGTCCTGCCTGTAAGGCTTATGCCTAAAAAGGCCACAAAGGAAGGGATTTTGGTCTGTTTCATTCCCTGCTTGAAGCACTGATGCAATGAGCAAATGAATGAATGCCTACCTCTCCAGGTGGTCAGCACCTGAGGGTGGGGCCCACACCTACTTCGGCATGTCAGCGGCTGGCTGGGGAGAATGCTTAGGGAAGGGCTTAGGTTGGCAGAAGGAAACAGAAGGGTACTTACAGCCAGGAAGCCCAGCTTGCCCCCACACCAGGTCTTCAGCCCCATGGCAGCAGTCAGGTGGATCTCAACCAGCGTGCTCGGCGGGATTTTCTCCTCTGCACATTCAGCCAGGTTCACAGCACACAAAGCCATGTGCACGTCAGAACAGGCGGATCCTGCAGGAAGCTTCCCTAGGTGGGGCAGAAACAGACACTAACATTGACAGATCCCCCACACCTTTCCCCGAAGAGTAACAGTGGAACCAGAGGAGAAACTAGGTGAGCTTTGTGACCACACAGGTCTTGGGTGGGATGCCAGGCTCTGTGACTTAACAGCGTGTGTTCATGTCTACCTCTCAGGGTGGCTGGGGACATGGCACCCTTGTATACAATGAGAGGCATCAAGATTACAGTTACTGTACAGGACTCAGAAGCACGCAGCGCAACATTTCCCAAAACAGTGTCAACAACATGGGCCACATTCTGCTATACAATTCTGTGTCTCCAAATGTTTCAATAGAGATAAGGCAAAAAAATCTTTTTAAAACCAATTTGAATTTATTTTCACTAGAAGACCCCCCACAATATATAAGTGCACACATCTTTAAGAGAGAAGTAACATAAAACTGAGCAATGTCAGTTGGACACAACTTAGGTTAGTAGGTGGAAGGGCAGAAAAGGCTTACTATGGCCTCCCCTACAAGAGCTGAACCACAGCTCATCTGGGCGTACCCCTGAAGTCAAGGGACAAAGTCCCAGGCACAGGCCTGACTGTGGCTCTCCTGAGGCTTTTATACTGCTTGCTTTGGTCCTCACTATAGGGGCTGGGAGGCGGCAAGGACAAGCCATCTCCTTGCCTTAGGAAGTACCAAGGTCCAGATGGTGGCAAAATCGGGCTTCCCAAGCTCACTCAGCCCTCATCCTACTGGGCCACCCTGCCTCCCTGGGAGACTTCAGCTCCTCCAATCATTCTGTACTGGCCTGAGCTGTCTCCTCCGGGAGGCACCAAGCTCTTGCCTTCAGGGGGAGGGAGGGGCAAGGGCAGTGTGGAACCACACTGTATTCATTTCTGTCCCCTCAGTGTCTCAGACAGGTAGTGCTCAGTGAGGGTGGAGGGAACGAGTGAGGTGAAGCTTCCCAGCTAGAATTCTCCAGAACTTGACAGCAAGGAGGACAGTCTCCTGATCAGAGAGAGACCTAGGTATGGGCTTGTTCTGTTCCAGGGGCAGAGAGAGGGAGTGGACAAGAAAAAAAGCAGGAGAAATTTACAAATAGGAACCTTCTGCTACACTCTCCCCTGAGCCCAAGCGTTAAAACTGCACAGCTGGCCCCACTGTCTCATCTCCTGCTCACTCCATCGCTGGTGCCCACACTGCTCCACTGCTGGCAGCCACGGGGGCATTTCCAACACCTTCCAGTCTCCACATAATATTGCTATGTTCTGGTGCCCACCTTCCTGGACATCTGAGCATCATGGCTCCCCTCAACCCTCCCTGTCTTGCTCCTCCCAACACTGAGCCTCTCAGATTCTCCTTGGACCTCTACAGCTGCTCCTCTCTGGCAGCCTCTGCCCGAGTCCTCATCCTCTATCTGCTCATTACATGTGAGTGCTCTTCCAGATGTCCCCGAGGGTCCCCTTTTCAGCACATACAGTCTCATCAGTTCCCTTGGTTTTACTAACTCTTTTCTGGGCTGCGGACTCTGCATGGCTAGCAGCCTACTGAGCATCTCCCCTCTGTCTCACAGGCAAGTGCAAAAGGGAACTCATCTTTTCCCTGGCAAGTTGCTCTTCCTCCTGATTTCTTCACCTCTGTTGATGGTCCCACAGTTCACCCAAACTCCCAAGCAAGAAACCAGTGAGCCATGCTCGCCAGCTATCCATCACATCCAATGACTTACCAAGTCCAGTCAATTCTACCTTCTAATTTCCTCATCTGTTCTTCCAGAGTCTAGCATCAGCTACATCAGCTTCTGTTTGGCCTCAACTCCAGCCTTAATCCTCTCAGATCCATTCTCTATCTGCCATCAGAGTGAATCTTCTAAAGTTCAGGAGCATAAACCTGATCATATGCTCTTCACCAGATCCTACTGATACACTACAGATCCCCAGCCTGGCATCCACATCCTTCACGGTACAGGTACCGCCTTGCCCCCTTGGGCCCCGCATCCTATCACCCTCTCCTTGCTCGGCTCACTCCACGACTATTGATGTATTAGTCCGAGAGCCACCCCAAGTGGGGATCCTTTGGTGGAACATCCCTCTGCCTAGAAGGCAGATCTCCTGCAGAGCTGATGATCTTTGAGCATCCTCCATGCAAAGCCACTCCTTTACCCGGCCAGAAAGCCTTTCTTGACATTCTACTCAATAGGTACCCCTCTCAATGAAAATATGTTTCTTCTGCTGAGTCTAATACACTCACACTGAACTATTATTCATTTGCTGACCTGTCTGCCTTTCCATTACAACAGGAGTTTATTGAAAGAAATAAATGATCATATTTCATTGACTCTAAGATGCCATCAATTTTCAGTCTGTCCATTAAGTATCAGTAAGAAAAAACACTGCCAACTAATCCATAATGTGCCATTGGTTGCAGGACACATCCCAAGCATAGAGATTTTACTGTGAAAAAAAATGTGCATTTTAGAATTGATGAAACACAGTAACGAGTTATCTTTACAGTAATGAGTACAGGTAGAAGGCTGGTCTAACCACTCTAAAAGAGCAATGTAAAGGGGGCTTCAACTAGGGTGGAGAACTGGTAAATCAAGCCACAGAAGAGAAACAGCATGGGGTCCCTCGCAGAGAGCCAGACGGCGGCAGACGCCCCTTCACCTGTGATGTGCAGCTGGTGCAGCCGGTGATAGGCCAGGGCTGCATCCCGGGCGCTGGTCTTAGCTTCGTCCTCAAAGCCCGCTGCGGTGGCTGGGGTGGCCCGCCAGCGCTGGAAGACTTTCTTGAGCAGCCAGCGCACCAGGCGTAGCTTCTGCAGGCTGTAGCGGATCACGTTCCAGGAGAGGCTGCAGGCCAGGTCCAGGCGGGAGGTGGGCAGGGCCCGGCCCAGAACTGACAGGCAGGTTTGTAGGTTGGCAGCAGCAGCTGCAAAATCTCCCTACAAAATAGCAAGAGGGTATTATGGTCACTAGCCTTGCTGTGGCCTTTTTGTTTTGATAGACTTCTTCTCTACCCCACCCCATAATCAGAAAAATACACGCCCATTATAGAAACCTGGGAAACTTCAGAAAGCTACAAAAAAATAAAAAGACACCACCTATAATCTCATCCCCTGCAAAGAATCACTGCTGACATTTTGAGGTATTTCCTTCCAGCCTTTTTACTAAATTGGGATTGCACTGTATTCTTTCTTTAAGCAAATGTTGGTCAGAGTTCGTCATGGTAGCTTTTGTACATAAGATAGTCACACAGATTTAGCTGAATTCCATGGTCCTTTAGACTTTTAGGGTCTCAAATTTGGTCCCCAGAGGCCAGCAGCAGCAGCCCTTGGGGGTGTGTTAGAAATGCAAATACTTGGGCCTCACCCCAGACCCACTGAATCAGAACCACTGGGATTAGAGCCCTCTAGATGATTCTTATGCCTGTTAAAGTCTGAGAACCATGCTTTTGGGTAAGTTCACAGCTAAACTACCCTAGCCTAAGATCTAGAAGAACAACTCTTTGCCACCTGAGAAGGTCTAATGGAGACTCCATGGTACTTATTAAAGATCTCTCTCTCTCTCTGTCATTACTGGGGACGAGAAGACTCAGGCTATACAGTCTTAGGAAACTGAAGCAAATTCTCCTCTTTTCCCCTATTATATAGCTGGTACAATATCTGTGCTTTGCGTCTCATATTACTCCAGGAGCAGACCAGGGAAGAGTGGGTAAAGATGTTCTCAGAGGGACAACCCCTACAGTGGGGGCTATATCTTTTCAGCTAAGAGAAGCACTTGTATTTAGACTCAAAAGAGGCAGCTTTCCCTGAGGCTGGCTGTTTCCAAGGCCCAGTCTTTGGCTCCCACCCCTTCTGACTCAACACCCAATCAATTCTCCCCTAGCACCCTGTCCCGGCAGGCATGCGTCCTCCCCAACACTCTGGTCCTGCCCCTCCTCAGCCCCCATGGCCTGCCTCCTGGTCGCTGCCCACTGTCTAGGGTCTCTCCCACCATTTCTAAGCGACAGATCCCCTCCGTCAGAACTCATCTCTTCTGCCCCAAACCCCACAGCACCTTATTCTTCCTCTGTCACACTGGAGAAGGCAGATCATTTTGTGTCCGTGGAACTACCTACACACAGGCGGCCTCTCTGCTGCCCACGCCTGTTGGGGAGCAGGGCCCTTCTTTCTCTCCGGCATCGCCAGCACCCACCCCGGGACCTTATCCACGCTGAATTCAGCACAAGCTGCTCAGTTACTGGCCACACTGTGGGGGGAAAGGAAGGGCGGATGGCAGAACTCACCCTGGCGAGGTCCAGGTCTGCCTGCTTCCGGTGTCTCCAGAAGGTGACGGAGGAGCGCGAGTGCAGCCGGATCACCGGCTCCCCGTGGACCAGCAGCTTCACGAAGACGCTCAGGACAATCACGCTGTTCACCAGCCATAAGAGCAGAGTCGGCACCATCCAGTCAAACCAGCCCCCAGAACCTAGAGGGGCGCGTCACAGCTGAGCTTGCCAGGAAGGGCCTCGTGGGGCAGCCAGGCACCTGACTGACCCCAGCCTTGTGCCATCAGAGAAACTTCTGCCTTATTTTCAGAAGAAAAGGCAGATAATTCTATAACCTAAATAGGAGCCCTGTGGCCCTTGTCATTATAGAGCTGAGTGCCACAAAAATCTTTGTTAGCCAGAAAAGGTTAGGACACTGGTTTTGCAACTCAGGTAAAAACATCACATCCTCCTTCAAATAGCTACCACCCCTCTCCCCCTCTCCCACCCCGGGGCATTTATAGCAGCGTGGGCGCTTGATTTGTTTTGCTTGCTCTAACTGAACTTGGGTTTGCCTTGTTATTTCCCGAATGCAACTTACGCCAGTCCCTTTCAGAAGCAAGCAGGGAGCTCCCTATAAAAGAAAAGGCCTCTACACCTGGCAGACGCACCAAGCAGTTTGTACACAGGACCCTCCCTCCTCTTGCCACAGCAGTAGACCCATGCCCAGGTGGCACGAGGGGCTCTCCACCTACCTGACTCGAATGACAGTACACTGCGGCCAGAGCCTGAGTATGCGTGCTGGTCGGAGTCGTGGGACCCTCCCCATTGCAGCAGGGAAGTCAGGGGGTTAAAGGAGAGGCACAGGAAGGTGAGGACACACAGCAGAATTCGAGAGCGGTCCACCATGCCCAGCGCTACGGGAGGAGAGTCCGGCTCATCTTTGACCTTCAAAACAGTGCCTCAAGGTTGGAATGAAACCATGTGGGATTTTACAGCACTTTACATATATACATCAGGAAACAGACTGTGAGATTTAAATTCAAGACCATTTATGAAGGTAAGAATAAAGCCAGGTGGCAAGTAAGAAGTCTACAATTCATAAACTGCTGCTCAAACATTAGAACATTTGCCCTCTTGCTGGCTGAGAAAAATACATGTTCCAAAGAACAAAGGCAGAAGAGATTTCCTTTTAAAATAGAGCTTTATCACAAAAGAGAACACACTGTTGCTGTATAATTCCAGAATAGGCGAAACAAATCTAAAGCGACAGGAAGCTGATGAATCAGTAGTTGTCTGAGGCTGGAGAGGGGCGTGTGAACTACCTGCAAAGGTGCATGAAGGCACTTTTGGGGATGATGGAAATGTTCCACAGCTTGCATAGTGACAGTTGCATAGCAGTGTACATTATGTTAAAACTCCTGGTACTATACATTTAAAATAGGTGTATTTTACTGCATTTAAACTATACCTCAATAAAGTAGATTAAATACTGTACTTTGGTGTGGATCTAACGGATTTCTCTTGATCTAAAATTGTAACATTGTCTCCACCCCCATCCCTACCACACCTCATTTTACAGAAGGAGGAAGGGAGGGAGGGAAGAAGGATGGAGTTGGATTTCACCCCCAAGCCCCAATGTATATATGACTCCTTTTCAATATTTTAAAACTATTTAAATATTTTTCCTGATGACTCAGAAGCCTAGCTAATTCAATTGGTATGTCAAATGGCCTGTTATGTTACTAAACAGAATCACAGTCATAAAATATTTCAAAAACAGAGCTTCCTTAGCAAAATTAAGTATATGATGCAATAAACACTTAGTCGAAAACAAACACCAGAAGCAAACTTTGTGCTTTCAGAGTCAGAAACTGCCAATGTCAAAATACAGTATAGAACCCAGAGATCTCCACAGGTTTCCAGGAAGATCATTAGGCTCAGAGACTCTTTTAACCAATTCCATTAAACTACAATTGCCAGGGGCTTTCTTTAACAATTAGAGGTCCTCAGTTGAAATGTTATCTGTTAGACTGCAAATGGTAATCATTTTCCAAAAGAAGACCCAGAGGCAGCCTCATCTTGAACCTCCCCGAGTGGTCTTACCAGGACCAGCACAGGCAGAGGGAGGTAATGAGGCGTCTCCAGCAACTCCCAGGCCCTCAGACAGCTGCTGCGCGTCCCAGTTCTGGATCTGGCACCCATTCCTCTCTGAGGGGGCCTTTCCCCTCCCCGCCAAATCCCCCACAGCCCCAGTCAGTTTTCTCCTTCTTTGCTCTCCAGAAGCTGGCTAATTTCACAGAATTCCTATTCCTCTCCAGCCTAGGTCCTCTGAACACCTGGCCTGGGACCCTCTCTGTAGCCTTCCCCCTACTTTCTTAGGAGAAGCAGAGATTTCAGGGATCAGGGGATTTCGAAAGCTCATACCTTTGCATCATCCAACAGAGGGCTTCCTGGCTCAGAGTCAATGGAGTACGGGGAGAAGCCAGCCTGGGACCCTGAGTCAGAGGCCGGGGGGGACATCAGAAGGACATTCTGATTAAAATCCTCAATCTTCAGGTCCACCTCATTGTCCACCAGACTGCCTAGGTCGATGCCTTTCAGGAGCTCTGCAAAGAAAACTCCACCTGGTAAAGATAAACCCCTCCTTTCACAAAGCTTCAGCTGAGCAGGGGCTGGGCTGGGCAAGGCCTTGTACTGTTGCCCAGGACGTCTCGGTCTAAGAACCCTTCTCTAAATGAGCACACTTACTGTTTTTCTGATTTGCCAGCTTCAGCACCATGTTCTCCTGGCGCAGTTTGTGATTGACTTGCTGCAAGTATTTGATGTAGTCAATGGCTTTCCTCAGAACGCCAGACTTGTGCATCTGGGAAGATGAGTGAAACACAGTGAGCCCAGTGCAGGTGTACGGTGAAGATAGCAGAGCCCAGGACTCGTGGGTTGACAGCACGGCTCTGGGCTAGGAGATGTGGGGTTCAGATGCTGGCGCCCCGACTGATGCTGTGCTACCCCAGGACAAGTTACTCCACACCTATGAACCTCTCTCTCCTCCTTCTCAACATAGGGATAGGGACAGTATGTGAATCACAGGCTTGCAGTGAAGAGTAAATGAGGTAGTAAGTATAAAGAACTTAGCACTGAGCCCAGCACATAGCTGACAATAAATAAATATTAGCTATATTATTCCTACTCTTTTTTTTATTTCAGCATATTACGGGGATACAAATGTTTAGGTTACATATATATTTTTTTTTTGAGACAGAGTCTCACTTTGTTGTCCAGGCTAGAGTGAGTGCCGTGGCGTCAGCCAAGCTCACAGCAACCTCAAACTCCTGGGCTCGAGTGATCCTTCTGCCTCAGCCTCCCGAGTAGCTGGGACTACAGGCATGCACCACTATGCCCGGCTAATTTTTTTTTATATATATATCAGTTGGCCAATTAATTTCTTTCTGTTTATAGTAGAGACGGGGTCTCGCTCTTGCTCAGGCTGGTTTTGAACTCCTGACCTTGAGCAATCCGCCCGCCTCGGCCTCCCAAGAGCTAGGATTACAGGCGTGAGCCACAGCGCCTGGCCCTAGGTTACATATATTGCCTTTGCCCAACCTGAGTCAGAGCTTCAAGCATGTCCGTCCCCCCCCCCACTTCTGTTAATAATCCTAAACAAACTTTAAGGAAAACAAGGGACAAAAACCCAGAGCACTGCTGGACACTTATCTTAAGTAAAGGAATATATTTTTACTTAAGGTATATACCTTTCAGATTTGTAGCCAACAAATGAAACTTTCTTTCAAAATAGGGCTAAAGGTGAACAGTTAATAGGTAAAAAAACAAAAATACTTGCCAGAAGATACATTTATTGAAACACCAGAAACATTTGAAAAATCAATTTCATCTATTTGCTGTTGGCTAAAGACCTCATCTCTATTATTTTACTCTTCCCTAAAAGGTAAAAATAATTGCTACCCACCCTAAACAGCTAAAAACATGCCAGCAATGCTATCAGCTGACTCCTAGGCACACAAGAGGCCTATACCTGGCCACTGAGTAGTGGCAGGCCTCTCTCTGTGCCTCTGAGCCTAGGGTCCCCCATCACTGCAGAGCACAGTGGAAGGAATCAAAGGTCCCAGTGGGCCACTGCCTTTTCAACCCTTAGCAGTCTTCTTATGTTGATTAATATTTTATAATCTTGACAAACACCAAGATACTTTATAAGAAAGTACCTCTAACTCGTTCTTGTTTTCACTTGGCTTGGGCTTGGGACTTACCTAAATTCTCTAGGCAAAGACAGGTAGAGGGGAGATGGCGGGGCATGAAATACCATTTTGCTTGGCACCCACCTTGGCATCTGTCCCCATGACCAGGTCTTTTAATTCAATGATTTTGTCATTGATGGAGGAACGGTATCGTTTCTCAATGATATTGTGTGTTGTCCGCCTTTCTCCTTCTTTGGGGGGCTCAAGCTGCTTGACTCCCCCAGGTACCTGCTTAATGGGCACTTTCTCTTGCCCCATCATCACGGGCATTGTGGTCAGAATGGTCCCGTTGCTGCCCACCAGGGTCTAGAACAGGCACAGGCATGGAGAGGAATTATACTTTCGTTAGTCTGCATAAAGCAACCTCACCACACAAACCCACTAGCCACTGGCACATGGCATCACCTGGCAAGGCTTCAGGAGGTCTGAGACTCTTCATTGGTTAATTAAGTCAGGCTCCAAGAAGCCTCAGGAGCCACAGGACCTCAGTTACTACCTTCCTTTCAGAATCACTGTCAATAAATCACACTACAAAAGGATTAACGTGGCTAAATACGTTTTAACCTTTGATCTCAGTATGCCAGAAACAAGTCATCCATTCTGCTTTGCTGTCAAACTGTTAGCCACCTCTGAATCCATACACAGTGAGCCACACCAAGTTGGCACCAGACAAAACTTTCTCCTGGTATATGACACATTTTTTCCCTCCCAAATGACAATTAAACAAATTACTGCATTTCTTTCTACAATTTGGGCATCAAAAAGCTCAAGGGCAGAACTGACACTCTCAATCAGAGCCATTTGATTAAAAAATGGGCCAAACACAGAGGTTTCCTCCTTTTATTCCTCATCTCTGCTTTTCCCTCTTTTTGTTTCTATTTTTTCTAATTTTAATTTTATTTTCTTCAATAAATGGCCTCAATATTTAAATGGCCAATAAATAAACACAAAGGTCATTAGTCATCAATAAATAATTCACACATAACAAAACCCACAAATCTTAAATTTAAAGCTTGATAAATTTTATATATGTATACGGTATGCGTAACCACTCAGACCGAGAGAGCGCCAACTGCCACCTCTACCAGGTCAGGACGTGCCCCCGTGTCTCTGAAGCCTAATACCTCCAAGAATGAGGGTGGAGGGAGGAGGGCAGGGGAGAAGGGAGCTCTTACTGGTACTTGAAGGGCGGCCGTCTGGATAGGGGTGGTGAGGGCAGTAAGGGCTGGGTTCTGGACTGCAGCCATGACAGGGCTGCCATCTGTCTTCAGTGTGGTCAAAACAAGGGAATCTGTCTTGATGATCTGGGGTTGGACTAGAACCTGGATGAAGAAGGAAGAAAAGGAAAAGGAAGGTATCATTATTTTTCTATTTTGCATTTGTTTCTCACTGCACAGACTCTCCAAGAATGAATGAGAAAATAATTTTTATAAAAATGAGAATAAAAAATATCAGGAAATCTCAGAAGATACTTCAAAAGCTGGCTATTTTGTACAGCCTGAATACTGGGTTCAGGGGAAGAAGGAAGGGCTAAAGAGGTTCCTGGGTTTTAAGGCTGAAAGGTTTCTAGGAGGGCAGTACTAGGGGCCCAGCAGGGGCAGAGCAGAGATGGGTGGGGAGGATGGAGGGGAGAGAGTTCTGACTTTGACAGACTCAGGAAAGCCAAAAACATAGCTGAGAAGCAAAATTAATAACTCTTAGATTTGTTTTAAAGATAAATTACTTTGCTGGCTGGGCTGAGTGGCTCACGCCTATAATCCTAGCACTCTGGGAGGCCAAGGTAGGAGAATTGCTCAAGGTCAGGAGTTCAAAACCAGCCTGAGCAAGAGTGAGACCCTGTCTCTACTAAAAATAGAAAGAAATTAATTGGCCAACTAAAATATATATATATATAAAAAATTAGCCAGGCATGGTGGCACATGCCTGTAGTCCCAGCTACTCAGGAGGCTAAGGCAGAAGGATCGCTTGAGCCCAGGAGTTTGAGGTTGCTGTGAGCTAGGATGACACCACGGCACTCTAGCCCAGGCAACACAGTGAGACTCTCTCAAAAAAAAAAAAAAAAAAAAAAGAAAATTACTTTGTTAGTAAGAAAATATGGTCCACTGTGATACATGACAAAAAGACATTTTTCTGATTATAAAAATTATACATATACCCTCTCAAAAGTAATACAATGTTCAGCATCCATAGCAAAAAACACAGAAAACAGAAAATTATAAAGAAGAAAAGCATCTGGGAGATACCAATTTGGTGCATTTCTTTCTAGTTTTACACCCACTGCATGTGTAAACGAGTGACTACCCCAGGCTTTACTGAGTGCACGTGAGTGTCAGTGTCGATCTGCAGATGTGGGCTCAGCCAGGTGTCTACATGCGCTCACAGGTGCATCCTGGGGCCCTACAAGCTGCTTGCTCTGGGTCTCCCCTCGCTGGTCCTTCTTAGTACGTAGACCACATCTTCAGCCAAGGACCAGTCGACAGCCCCAACTGGTACATCCTTGAATCCCGTCCAGCCACCTACCGGGACCTGCTGCACCTGGGGCGCGGCAACCGTCTGCACCGTGGCTGGGGCAAGGGTCTGCAGTGTGCCATTGGCCGTTTGTGTCAGCACCCGCTGGGCCTGTACCGTCTGTACCTGCTGCTGGATGGTGACTGGCTGTACCTGGGAGGATGTCACCAGGCTTTGGACTTGAGGCTGAAGGACTTGGTTAGAAGAGGAGAAAAAAGTCACATGGATGAAGAATGCATTCTGTCACTGTAGCTGCAGCAATAACCTGAGGATGGAGTATCTCATAATGATTCCAACTGCCCACCTGCTGCTGAAGAAGATGTGCACAGCCATTTACAAGCTGGTTTAGATAACAAGAACATGCCATAAGGGCTGCATCAATTTCTGAGAGAACGAGTACAAATTGTTTCATTACGCTGGGTGCTGGGGTGGAGGTAAGGGAAGCTAATGGGCAAATGACTGCATCCAGCAACGGAGTTAACAGATGTGGGGAATCAACAACTCCCTGGGGCTTCATTTCCTCCCGTCCTTCTTGGATGGAAAGTGTACTTTGGCATGACTGTCTTGGCTTTTTGCCTTTATACCCACCCCACTCCCCCAAATTCTTGAACTCCCTAAAGAACTGTCAGATTCTTTACAATTCAGAGCAATACTAATACCACACAGGGCTCCCCACAGAGTCAGAGGGAAATCTGGTGAAAAGGCACTGGGGCACAGCACATCACGGAAACAACACGCCACCTTCATTCACTCATTCATTCACGCAGCACATACTGAGGGTCGACTGCCTGCTACTTGGAGATGCAGCACCTATATTAAAAGTCACGTTCATCTCCACAGGCATTTGCTGAATGGATGGTCCTCAACCTGTGGGTGCTGAGATCTGACTACTGCCTAGGCAAGTTTTAAGCCTAATTTTATTCAAGCCTCCACCACTAGATACTAGGATGGCCCTGTGCCTACCATGCTTGTTGGATTTTTTGAGCAAGTTTCTCTGAAGCAGGCACAATAGATATTAAGGTATTTGAAGAAGCAGAATGTGAAATGTTCCTGCACCAGTTCTTACTGCCAGTTACTAGAAACTCATTCAGACAGGACCATATTGGTATATCTGTCATCCCCAAAAAGGACACAAAGATTTAGTGTCTGCAAACTGGCCCATAAACTTTGGAACCAACCAATCACTACCACATCTGCCTTCTGAATCACCTTGAAAGCTGGTAGCTGCATTCTGGTATATTAAAGGCTGCTGGATGATCCTTGTCTGAGGAGCGGTGCTGAATGTCGGGGTGATCATTACTGTCTGTTGCTGCAGCTGAGCTGGAGGTTGAGGCTGGGGCTGGGGGCGGGGCTGAAGGATAGGAGTTGCCCTCGGTGGGGTAGGAACTGAGGTGGCAGGGACCTTGACCTGCAGGGCTGGAGCCTGGGGGGAAGCAGCTGAGGAAGAGAATGAAGGTAATGGGACCTGGCTGAATGACCGCTGCATCAAGGGGTCCACGGCTGCCGTGCCACTGCTGCCTCTGCCATTGCTGCTGCCGCTGCTGCCACCGCCACCACCGCTGCCACTACTGCCGGGAAAGGAGCTACACAGCTGCTCTGAAAACAAGTCTGGGAACTCTCCCACTTGATTACTGACAAACTGTAGCATCTCTGTGAAGAAAAGAAAAGAAATTTTGTTGCCATCCAAAATATTAACTTTCAAACTTGCTTAAGAGACTAAGGCATGAAAACCCAATGGCTTTCCTAAATCCACAGCAGAAATAGGTCAGGAAACCCTTATACCTCCTTCTTATGTGGGGATCACCAGGGCCAAATTGGCTGACCAAGGCACCCGAGACAACAGGACAGGGCTTCGTGTGTTTGATGTCTTCTCCTTTCCTCACCCCCACCTCCAGGCCCTTTTTACCCATTTCCCTGATTGCTTTTATCAATCATAATAGCAACTACCTCTGTCCAAGGTGGGTGTTGCTTTGTGCAGGGTATTGTGGGTCCTCTTGTACAGGTGGAGGCACTGAGGCAGTAGGCATAGTCACTGTCCTAAGGCTTTGGAGTGCAAGGAAGTGTGAGGCCACCTCTGGTCTCAGCACTGCCAGACCCTAACTCTCTCTAACCCCTTTCCTCACCACAGGCAGGCTCTGGACCTCATCTCCACGCTGAGCAAAGCCCTGGCACTGCTGTTGCCCTCAGAAACACTCAGGGATGATGAAGTTGATGGCCCCTAAGTCATGGACTTTTAGGGGTAGAAAGGATGGAAAGATCATACATGAAGTCCAGAACAGGGAAACATCTTGACCAAGGTCTCATAGCTTGTCAGGGACCAGCCAGGGTTAGAACCAGTTCTCTGCCTCCCAGCTGTGTGTTCTTCTACTGCACCACAGTGCACTACCAGGAGGTCAAGGCACAGCAACCCAGCCCTGCGCTGGGCGCCATGCTCTGCAGGGCCCACTCTGGCCCTCCTCCCTCCTCCCTTGGTTGTGCACCTTCCCTCTGCACAAGGAGTCTACGGGGCCAAGGGGATGTGTCCACCTGGAGACATCACTTTCTAGATCATGTTCTAAGTACCTGGGACCCTTAAATTCTCAGTCTTTAGAAGCAAGTCTGCTTCCAGGGCCTCTTCCTTGGTCCATCTTCCCACAGGCTTGCCAAAACCCTGCTTAATCTGCAAGCAGCAACTCATCCCTCATAAGCCCTTCTCCTCTTCATATGGTTGGTCCCTATTAGGAGTCAGGGGCCTCAGCTTTGTCCCAGATATTTTCAGACATACAGTTCTTTATGTTGTTCACTTCCCTCCCCCTTTCCTCTCTCCATACAGCCCCAAGAAGCTTTTGCTTGTTCTTGAACTGTAGTCTCTCCTTTCCAAACCCTCAAGGCCATATGATGCTCTGATTTGGACACCAAAGCAACAGAAACCATCACCACCACCACTACCTGGCACTATCTCCATCTATTCCCCCCAAACCTTCAGCAGCATGTCCTTCCCAGGTCTCTGATACTGTGTGTGCCTACGTGCGCAGGAGAGCGAGGGTCTGGGGTATGAAGAGGTGCATGTCGGATAAGCAGAAAGCTGCCAGAGTTTCTACTGTGGCTTCCATATGCGATAATTGGAGCTTAGCATTTCAATTTCACCACCTTAAGTGTTCAGTCAGTTAAACCTGCTGGGCAAAATAGTATCTCACCTGACAAAATTCCTACATAGTCGTACTAGTATTTACCAACACCTTGACACTCAGTTCTGTCCTCATTCAGCTCACTATATGCAGGAGGGAGAAATGGGCAGACTGCCACAGATCCTGCAACTTGTACCAACCAGTTCCAACTCCCTGTACATGGTTAAACCAAGAAATTTCCTCAAACTCAGCACAAGACTTAAAACACAATTTAGTGCTGACACATTCCAAGCACCAGATTATAAGATGCTTTGAGAAAATGATTAAGAGAAACCTAATAATTTGTTGAGCCTTCCAGAATTCCCATAAAATCTCAACTCTTTGGGAAATTAACAGAGGTGAGTCAGAAGAATATCACTCATTGGCTGCCTATTTTCCTCCATGGAAAACTAAGGAGGACAGAAGGCCAGGGTGGCCTGGTAGATGGGCACAGGATTTGGTGCCACATGAGCCTGGGTGTGAGTCTTAGGAGGCCCACCTAACACACTGACTGACACACTAGAAGAAAAATATCTTCTTTGGGGCCATGGTGTTTTATTAGGAAAATAGAATAAAAACTTTGAAAACAAAACAATCCTTTCTAATGTAATGAAAAATTTGTTATTTTTTATTCTTTTCTGTGCATGAGTTATATACAACTTGAAAAACAGTTCTCGTGCCTCCCAAGGTGAAGAGACGTGTGAGTTACATATGCTTCATGAGGCCCCCGGCCTCAAAATCAAAAATTGGCGTGAGTTAAAAGCAACTCACATGGCAGTTAATGTGCTTATCATCTGTGTGAGTGTGGGCGCATTACTTCTGTCTTTGTCTTGATTTCTTCACTACAAAAGGCTGCTTTGAGAATATACACTTGGTCTCTTTGCTTTGAGGATTAATAAGATAATTTATGCAAAGTGCTTGGGAGACCCTTATACAGGCCCCTCTTAGTGGTACTTCCAGAGCCTCCACCACACAGGCATGTGGGTCTGCTGATCTCATCTCATCGAGCGCTCTCGAAACCCTTCTGTGGGGAAGACATGGGCTGGTGTGGTGAAGTAAGCTGCAAAGGTCACAAAACTTAGTTCACAAAGCAGGTTAAGAGTGTGTAGGCAGATGGAATGCGACTGCTTAAATTAAAAAAACAAAAAAAACCCGTTCAACCCACACACAAAAAGCTCCAGTGGAGCCATCTCCAGTCAGCCAGGCAGCCAGGAGTTGGGCTAAGTGGCACAGAGGGGCCATTAAGACAAGCATTTGCAGGAAGGAGTGACAGGAAGAGGCTCTCAGAGCCCCTCCTCCAGCAGGGCACACAGGGCCTCCCTGAGCCCCCATCTGTTCTGCAGCGCCAGGGAAGAGGAAGCCTGGACAAGCAGGGAGCAGTTATGCTCTGTAATTCTGAGCTACCCCCCACCCACCCCCACCATGGGAGGGAGGCTTGGGAGAAGGCACAGGTTTTATGGAGCTTTGAAAATGAAGTTCTAGTTCCTGCTGCAGCCTGCAGAGCCCAGAGCCAGAGACAGGCCTCCCAGGAGCTGGGCTGGCACACTCAAGCTCATCTTGCTTCCCTGCTCCTGTTTCAGCTGCTGCTTAAACTTAGGGCTAGGCTGGGCACGGTGGCTCATGCCTGTAATCCTGGCACTCTGGGAGGCCAAGGTGGAGGATCATTCGAGATCAGGAGTTCGAGACCAGCCTGAGCAAGGGTGAGACAACCCCCCCATCTCTACTAAAAATAGAAAGAAATTAGCTGGACAACTAAAAATATGTAGAAAAAATTAGCCAAGCATGGTGGGGCATGCCTGTAGCCCCAGCTACTCGGGAGGCTGAGGCAGGAGGATCGCCTGAGCCCAGGTGTTTGAGGTTGGTGTGAGCTAGGCTGATGCCACAGCACTCTAGCCCGGGCAATAGAAAAAAAAAAAAAAAAAAACCAACAAAAAACTTAGGGCTAAATTGCTTAACAAAGCAGGTGGGGCCCCAAGAAACGACATCTAGGTTCTGGTCTCTAAAAGCAAGTAACCAAAATTAGAGGCTCCAGTTGTCATCCTTACATTGCAAGCAGCCCTGTGTTTGGGATCATCCAAAGAGATTCCAAGTTCACATGCACTTTATGGAGCATATGGCCTAGAGGTATCATAAATCACACCCCAGCTCAGCCTGTGGCATCTTCTTGAGAGCAAGTTAACCTGAAATATGATTAGATTAATTCTAGTCCTGGAATAAAGACTCTAAAGCTCCCAAATGGGGTAACAATTTCTCCAAACTGCACAATCAATAATCCTTTAATAGGCATTTGTTACCTAGCCGCATTAGGTGCCAAGAGAACTAGTTTAAAAAGGACATTTGTTCTTTTTTTTTTTTTTTTTCTGAGAGTTTTGCTATGTTGCTCAGGCTAGAGTGCCATGGTGTCAGCCTAGCTCACAGCAACCTCAAACTCCTGGGCTCAAGCGATCCTTCTGCCTCAGCCTCTTGAGTAGCTGGGACTATAGGCATGCGCCACCATGCCCCACTAATTTCTTTCTATTTTTAGTAGAGACGGGGTCTCACTCTTGCTCAGGCTGGTCTCAAACTCCTGACCTCAAGCCATCCTCCCACCTTGGCCTCCCAGAGTGCTAGGATTACAGGCCTGAGCCACTTCACCCAGCCCGTTTATTCTTATACTTTGTATTTATTATGTACCTTGTGTCAGACAATCTTTCAATATATTTTTTAAAAAATCATAAAATTAGCTGGGCAAGGTAGCTCACTCTTGTAATCCTAGCACCCTGGGAGGCTGAGGCCAGGAGTTTGGGCAACAGCAAGACCCTGTCTCTAAAAAAAAAAAAATTAGAAAAATAGAAAAATTAACAGGGCATGGTGGCGTGCACCTATAGAGTACCAGCTACTTGGGAGGCTGAGGCAGGAGGATCGCTTGAGCCCAGGAGTTTGAGGTTGCAGTGAGTTGTGATGACACCACTGCACTCTAGCTGGAGTAACAGAGTGAGACCCTGTCTCAACAAAACAAAACAAACAAAAAAAAACCCATAAAAGTAATATATTCACCACCTTCCAGATTTCTTCCTATACAAGGCTTGCCTGCACACACAAGCATGCACATGTGTGCAAACAGTTTTACAAAGGTGGTATCTTAGTTCCCTTTGCTTAATAAAACATGAAAAGTCCTCAGTGTCAACCATTATGGACATAACACCATCCTTTTTAAGAGTGTCATGGTTCTGTATTATATGACATTGTATTGTATTGGAGCACTAGAATTGGTTTAACCACTCAATGATGATGGATAGTTGCTTTCCATTTTAACACATTATTAACAACTCTTACAAAAATCTTTTTCCACTTATCTATTTTCTTAGGATAAATTTCTAGAAGTTGGGTTTCTAGAAGTTTGCTGGGTCAAAGGCCAGGCATATGTGCTTTGGAAGGGTTTTAACAATTTATGCTCCTGCCAGCATTTCCCCACATCCATTTCTGTCAATCTGACAGTGGAAAAAACCGACATGGAATTGTTAT